ACGAAATTCAGTAAGAGACTATTTGTACCCCGTGAGTTTGATATGAGTAGCTCAATTTCGTAAGCTACATATGTACGCATTGCGGGCGTATTTTCAATACCTGCTATTGCGTCACGCTTCTTTTTAGATGGTATCTTTGTCTTGTAGTTAGGATTCGTTTAAGTGGATCCGCAGTGATCGAGTAGCGCAACTAATTAAATATTCCATTCCTATCAACTAAAAGGTGAAAGGTTGGAATTTCAAGGTATCACTCATAGGACGGTCCAAAACATAATTTTGCAAGTTTTTTTTCCTTGTTTTGAGGAAGTGTCGTAGGAGCTCCAAAAACAGATAAAGAAACTGCCGTATACTTCACTTGGGACAGTTGATGCCATGCACAGAGTATTGCAAAAGTTCAAATTAAGATATTAGTTTACTTCCTTTATTTACGCCTGCTTTTAATTCTCAGTGTTTCTGTTTGAGTTAGGTGATATTGTTATTAAACTTGAGCCTATATGATAAATATATGAAATTCATATATTTTGAACTGCGGTTATAGATACGTATGATGCACGATCCTCGCAGTAGAAAGCGCTATTCATGCAATAGCGAAAATCAGACCTGAAAAAAATCAGGCCTGTACGGGATTCGAACCACTGATATCTCAGGAGAGAGCTTTCAAATTGCCTGTAGCTGAGGGCTGACCGTGTTTGGGAAAACACTACCGTCGTTGGGAGGTAACTGAACTGCTTTCGCTGCCATTGTGAACTTGATCGTTACGAATTTCAATTTAATGACAGAAGTAGTATTGACAGGCGTAAAGAGAATTTAGAAAACATGACTCCAAATCTGTGTACGATTCTCGGCCTGACTGTTTATTAGTTGAATCTGTTGACAAAAAAATTTAATGCTTCTTACTCTATGTATTAGCCAAAGAAACAGTGTAAGAGAGGTACGGTTCAACATGCTTTGCACTGAACTAATCCAAAGTAAAGGAGAAATGAAGAGGTGAAACCTCCTTTAAGTCTGTCAACCTCGCCAATGGATGTCAAATGACAGCCGGATAACAACAGTATAACAAATTTTTCACACACAAAAAAACCAACACCTTCGGCGATCAGATAAATGTGCACGGGGAGCGGACGTTGCATTGATACAAGGAGAAAAAGAGCCGTCTTTGACTGTATTTCTATGAAAATGAAAGTGCGATCGCGGCGCGATTTAAAATCTCTTGATTCAGCTTAAGTACATACAATCGCGTTTCTCGTTTAATGAAATCATATAAGCCTTAATCTTTCCGTACCATGTCTCTTGAGCCTTTTGACTTCTTTTACAAGCCACCAGTGAAAGAAAATCTTGCTACAAATTGATGGTGAAATGAACAGAGTTTCATCTAAAAACACAGGCCGTCACGGCCTCATACTACACACGTCAATTTGAAGACCGATAGGTTGAAGGATCACAGCATCTGTATGACTGTATAATTTCAAATCACCCCTAAAAGAGTAAATCAGGAGAACTAAGAAAAGGTCTAAACTACTCTAGATTAGACTAATAAGCTCACAAGATTCAAAGGGACAAACGCGGGGGCGATGCAAGCTAAATTTTATATAAAAAGCCACGCTCAACCAGTGTGTTTTGCGCGCCATTGTTGTTGTTATTATCTGAGAACTCGATACTTTTTCTCGCACACCGGATGGAAACGGCAAAGAATACTTCAACGGCTGAGGCTTTTGTCAATATTTTCATGACAAAAATAGAAAAAGGGTATTATCAGCCAGAGCACAACTAAATCGCTAATTTGTATGGGGTATGCTTACGAAGTTTTTTTGTCTGTGGAACAGAACCAAAGACAAAATAGAAGAATTTGTTCGGTAGATGGGCAAACAGCTACAATCTGTAAGGAGGTTATATATATCCTCTTAATTCTGGATGTTTTATCACGATACAATCACTTTTACGGCTGGAATATCCGACTCAGAAATTTTATTCTTTGACACAAAAGTGACGAAAGCAAGAGGTCTAACAGGGAATCGACCCTTCACGTCCAAGCACAGTACAAAGAGACTAAGGCTTTCGGACACTTGAATTTTTATTTTCATCAGCCTTGAGGCACAAAGAAAGGATTCGTAATAGGAGAAGCGCTACGCCTTCTATGAATAAATTCGCCAGGCTTCACGTTCAGTAAAAACTCGCAGTGTTTCAAAATACGGGTAAAGAGTAAAGGATATCAAGTCTAAATTTAGGAGAAATGCATCCCTGAATCTGTCTCACCGTGAGGGATAGTTCACCCAAAAACTGACGAGATTAGGCTTGAGATCGATTGTAAACGTTTCCCCGTCCCCTTGAACGGTCACCCAAAAGCCAAAAGAAGGAGCTTTCTATTTGACTTTTCTCCGAAATGCTGTGAAACAGGGCTTCTGCAAACTCGCTGAATTTTCTCTTGCCAAATCCCTAAGCTGTTTTCGCTCATTCCATCTGGCGTTAAGAATTGATGTTGTCAGCCACATAATAAGGCGGCTTTTCATCGTACAGGGCGACTTTTTTTAGATGACTTCATTAACGCGAATGCGAAATGAAACAACAGAAATGCCAAGTAAATAGACGATAGACACTTGAAGAAACCAGATGAGGGTATAAGAAGCCGGTTTTCGATCAAGATTGCAAAGATTTAGGCGAACAATATTACTCACACTTAGGATTTTCTTTTTCTATAATACAGAAAATACTGAGAAAGGCCACTACTCCCGCAATGCATCCTGGCTGAGCACGGTCCCTTAAAACTAATTAAGATTTTGAGTGAACATTGTGACTGTTAACTCTCATAAAGCTCTAATGTTTCGCTTGCTGCCGTAAAATAAACATATTTACATATGTACGGAGGCTCATTGTGCAAGCTTGAGCTTTTTGTGTTGACCGATGACGTAGAAAAAACATACCATAAGATTTGGTGCGGACAAGTAAAATGTTGATGATACTCTTAAAATGCCTCGTGTTGTTCCGTTCAGAACGTAATTATGTTTCATGTCCTATGAGCACTGTTTACCCTAGATGTAAATATCGGCTATATCCAACTGAATAGAGTACGTGTTACGAATTTAAAACAGAAAACGAGCTGCGGCTCTGAACAAACTTGCCGATTTCTACACAGTTGAGCCTTCTAGTTTGTTTAACTTCATAATAGAACTTGGATACCAACCATTGTTAATCTACTTTGTAGCTTTTTTGCAACAATTGAGTATTCTAGAGTGTTTAATATAACTACAAAGTAGTTTGCCTTTGGCAAACTGTTAAATACAAAATAGAACTCGCATGTCTTCCACTGTTAATCTACTTTAGAACTTTTTTTTAGTAACAATTGAGCATTCCAGATTGCTTAACTTTAAAGTAGAACTCAGATGTCCTCTATTGTTAAAGACTGTAATTTTATTATAACAATTCAGCATTCTAGGTTGTTTGAATTCATAGTGGAACTAATAAAATAAAAATAAAAGTGGAAACTCGATTTTTCTCTTATATTAAAAATTGTTTATTTCAAAAATAAAAGTATTTTCAAACTAAAATCCAGTGCTCACGCAATGTTTTGACCGTTGAACGATTTAGACATGCCTCACTCTTGGAGCCTTAGAGACGACTAATCGTGCGACTAGAAATAAAAAGGCGCCTTAGGGCTCACAAAAATATTTAAGTGAAGGGCAAAGAAGCCAGGCTCTCACTCACAGAGTTACCGGTATCTTTTTTGTTTGGGTCAAGCCGAAATTCCTGTTATATTTTCGTCACGCCCGATTATTTGTCTCTTGGCCCCTAAGGATCAACTCATCTGAGCATGGCTGTCGCTTGTTCGAAAACAAACTGAAAATCATCATAAACGCAAAAGGAGATAAAGCAACCTTTAAGCTACTCAACATGTTGATCCCTAATTGTCTTAATAATATCTTTACATTCGGTGGCTGTTCGCCTCAAACTTGGGTCGGATTGCCAACTCGATGTCATGAGCTCAATCCATATTGCTGGAGGAGGATTACCATTCCTGGGAATTTGTGGACGATAATGCTCATCTTTAATTCGTCTAAAGAATTCTTCACGTCGTAGTTCGCTGAAGACGCGTTTCCCAAACCACATTTCCCACATCACAAGACCAAAACTGTATATATCCACCTTTGTGCTGTGGAGTTTGCCTTCCATTACCTCCGGTGCCATATACAATGGAGTTCCACACATCGTGCCAGTTATTTTGTCTTTAAAGGTTGCTAGACCTAAGTCTGCAACTTTGATGTGCTTACGTTTTGAGATCTGGAAACAATGTCAGGCAAAGTTAGTTTCCTGAAAAGGCTTCATAATTTTCAACACTTCAATCCAAAAAACAACCGCTATTTGCTTCGGCTTTAGGTTATACTCTTTGCCCCTGTGCCAAGCACTTGTATATTTCAACATTTTTAAACGGTGGCAGACACAGCATATGAGCCAAAGGACTCATCTCGCCGCAGCTTATCCCGATTTCATTGGAATCTTACATGCAACATTTTCAAATAACTGAGAAAAAATTGGCTTTTATCAAATGCTCATTTGGAGCAAATGAAATATTAAGCTAATAAAGTTTGGCGCCGTAATAATTTTTGCTCTTGTGATGAAGTCAGAGCATTCTTCAACGCGGTAACCTGATTCCCGAGCTGACGTGGTCACTGGGTGAGTTTTTGCTGCGGAAATTTTTAAAATGGTCACCTAGTCGAGATTTCAGTCCGATTACTGTTGAAACAGTCAGTAGTGTATCGCAAAAGCCTAGCCAGCACTTTTTACCGAGGTCATATGAGGATCACCCTATTTCCACTAATACTGACTCAACAGAATTTTCTCTTTGTCCTACGATCGTAAAAACACACAGAAAGGATGCTTCTTCATTTCAATGCCTGGTTTATAATTTACCATATTTCATCTTTTATTAACTCACCAGAATATTGGCCAGCTTGAGATCTCGATGGACAACATTCTTGCTATGGATGAATTCAAGCGCATCTAAGATTTGTTTTGCCCAGAGCATAATCCCAGCTGCTGCACTGGCCGTCTTCCACGGAATGTACTCATCATTTTCAAAGATTTGCTGGTCTAGGCTCCTGATACACAAGTCAAACACTAGAACCAGGGAAACGAGTTCTCGGTTTTGAACGTCTATGCCCACTCCGTAAAATGTAACGATGTGCTTGTGTTCAAGTTGCCTGCGTAAAAGATAGTGACCAAATTAATATTTTATTAGGCTACGCACCCAGGTGATAAAATTACAATGAATTCACTAGATGAGGGTAATCCCTTGTTGAGCCTTCTGAAAGTGCACCGTGAAAGTGTAAAAGCGTGATCCGATTAGTAATCTTTTCTAACAATCAATAATAATGTATAAATTTAGGCCTCATTCCCTGGAGTAAATTAACGATACTTTACAATTTCCTTTGAAATGGTGGTGAAAAGCAAGAGAATATTCATTACTTGGAATTTTTCCACCAAAGAATCTATTTACTCACATCTGATTGAATAACAGAAAGATTAGATGGATTATTTAAAATGCAAAGGGCACCAAGAAATTTCAAGTTTAGTTAACTGTTCCTTATCTGTACAGAGTGGCTCCACGACCGCTATTTTCGAAACCAAATTGTTTAGCTTAGTATTCATATAGTAAAGGAAGAAAAAAAAAACCAGAGAACCCCTTGGAAAACTCTTAAATGCAAGGACAATAACTAATAACAAGGACAATCCGCATGTAACACCAGGTCCGATAATCGAGCCCACGCCATAGTAGTCGAGCGCTTTCACTTCTGCATGAGGTAAAAGCACTGTTCCCTAGCTATTCTGACTTAAAAAAACTTACTTCAGCATTGCTGCTTCTTTTAGAAAGGTAGCAACATTTGATGGATCTGAATGTTCCCGGATCTTTTTGACCGCAACATCTTTTCTTTTATGTCCAGGAGGAGAGTATCTACCTTTGAAAACCATTCCATAAGTGCCTGCACCAAGGTGAGCCTGTCTTTCTTTCTCATTGTACTTGAGTCGTCTCACATCAAGCTGGCAAGATGGGTACATCACCTGTATTCCATTTTGAATTGCATCGAACATCAAGTTTTCATTCATGTCCTTTAAGTTTGAGTAGAGTGGTTGGTATTTTTCAAGGATTTCTTTTTCCCTTGATTCGTCTTCGCTCTTTGTCAGGTCTTTGCATCGCTGCTCGTATTTGGTGATTAACTGTTGGTGACACCTCTTGATGTTCGCAATGCGATTCGTCTCCTCGCTGAATTTGTCTCGAACGTAACTGAGGATTTTGTCTGTAATGAAGTCCTCGAGGAACTCCGCCGAGAGGTCTGTCATTGTTAGACAACAATTGCTCCTCTGGTGTTGTTCTTTTAGATGCTTTCCAAATGCCAGTACCCCAAGGACGGGTGCAGAAATAAATCCGGCAGCGAGGCCTACGGGTATCAAAACTGGCCATAAAATTAAGCCAGTCATCACCAGAAATTTTTTCATTCTTGGATCTAAAGGCGAGAACATCCGGCCCGGTCGAATCTCAAAAGGTCGGAAGTCGTCCACGTCACTTCCAACAAGTACACGGTCAATGTCTCGAATTTCTCTTTCAAACTCTAGGAAACCTTTGTTAAACTGTGCTTCCAGTTCTGCGTGTGCTTGGGTGAAAAAATTCACTCTGCTTTCCCAGTCTTGGAGGAAATTTTCGAATCGTTGTTCAATGCATCTGCTAAATGCCTCTTTCATCTTTGAAAAGTTTTGACCCTCTTCCGTTTTAGGCAGTTCGTTTTCTGTCCACCTGCAAAAGCTCCTTTTAAATTCATCAGTCTGTAGGTAGGAAGCAAGTTTTTGTTGTGCTTGTTTCACATACGAAGTTATGGCATTCTCAATTTCTCGGATGGGGTTGCCTTCTTTAAGCTTGCTGAGTTTCTCGTCAAGTACCTTCCGAGCCTGGAGACGTTGCTCTCTGTTCCTTTTGGCGTTACACATTTCACCTTTCAGCTGATCGGACAAGCTGCAGAGCTGGCCGCTAATCCAGCTGTCAAATAGAGCAGAAAGATGAATTAACTACATGTTGAAAAGCGTTTTTTTCAATCGTTAAGTCGAATGCGAATAGTTTTTCTTAACTTTGTTTTCCTTCAGTCGTCTTTTGGATTGATTCTTAATTTCACAAGACCAGTGGAATGACGTTTATGCAAGCTTAGTATTTCGGATTTGTTTTCGAAAGTGAGCAAATACTCATTTCGAACACGATTTGGAAACATTTTGTAAGATCGTGATTTAAATGTTACCATTGGGAAACATTTTCCTGTAACTCTTTCCAGCCGTAAAAATGTATTCAGTCCGTAGGAAATCTGCAACGCCCTCTTCGATGGAAAATTGTCACATCCAGTTGGATTAATTAGCAATAATCTTTATCCGTTGGCTTCTACAAACAGATTTATCCTCAAGGGCTGAGGGAACTTGGAAAAAGTTTTCCTTAGCAACGTTTGTGAAAGGTATTGGATAATTAAAATCAGTATGCAAATCTTCGGTCTTTAAATGATCAGCTGGGAGATGAAATGAAACTTACAAGTAGAAAAATTCTATTTTTCTCTCAATGCAAAGCGGCAGAAGACGTTGTAGTCGATTCACAAGATTGTGGAGATCATCACCCATCACGTCGAATCTCTCTTTTACTTCTGCAGCTCTCAAGACAGACATCTTAATGATTTGGAATTTTTCATCCAGTTCGGGAATAGTCTTTCTGAGAGTGTCGATGATGTGCCTTTCAGGATCTTGCTCCTGATTTCGGTTAGACTGCTTTTCCACCTCGTCCCACTTGTTACAGACAAAAATAGCAGATTCGGAAGTGATACCGCAGCCATCCTCCCCCTTGTAGAGTCTTACCCATTCGCTCAAGATTGGCATCAGCTGAAAGATTTATCACGAAAACTAAATGTAAAGAATGGAAAAACATCTCTGGTATCGGGGAATTTTTATAAAACTATTACAATCGGGTGGTGTATCTCTATAAGTGACACATACCTTGTGCTAAAATAAGTATAAAGTAACTCCTAAACATTTTATAAGACAGATGACGAGTCTCAAGTTTACCCTGTCCTGTTGTAATCCTCCGGCGTTTGGAGTGTTTACCACGTAAATAAAAGCGTAGGCTCGACTTAAGTATTTCAGGGTGATTTCACTGACACGCTTGGAATCGCCAATTCAAGGGCTGTCCACGATCACTACGCCACCCTAGAAGAGAGAAGAGCTGTTAGTTAATAAGAAATTGATCATAAATGAAGAGTGACTAAACTTTCTGCTTTTTAGTTGTGCGTAAACTTGTGGTGCGAAATCTCTTATTCACTTCGGCCTCCAGTGTAGGTATAGAGGCGAGAAACAGAGTACAGCCCAATGCAGAATAGAAAGCTAACAGCACAACACAGCACATTAACAACCTAGAGCGTCTAGCGATTTAAAGCATTCAAGAGGCCCCCGAAAGGTACAGTTGTCCACCGACTTCACTAATGATGTTGCCCATATACTACAGGGATCGAGGAAGGAAAGAGAAAAGCGTTTTGTGGGTTAGACTAAAGCGCTTATGCCTGTTACATGGCGGAGTCAGGAAAACCAGTGATGGCAGACCAATCCCAAAACGGCAGAAATCGCCAAAGACCACAAAGCACACATACGGAGTGAGAAAGTTTTATTATCTTAAGCGGGAAATTTTACTATTTAGGAATATTAAGTGCTGTAAAGCGACCCTATTTCGTTCCCCATACTATTCCTCATGGCGCATTCAAATTCTCAACGGTTCCTCGCGTAACTTAACACACAGGCTTTCATGAATTATATTTTGCCTGTCTTCGAGACGTGAGTTTGGAACGACTGTGGAAATACATAAAATACCCCTGTTAATTTTATTGTACGTTCGCAAAAAGTTTTGTCACCTTTAATAGTGGATTTGGAATCTTGATCTCTATCTTCTCGCACCAGTTTTCATCCTCTATTGGTTTTTGAATGTAATCTTTATACTTTTCAAATCTGTCCCCGGTAAGGACACGAGATGGCTTGCTTCTATTAGCCAAGTGCAGGACAGCTTCTTCGGTCACTCCATACGATATTTCACATATAGTCAATGTACTCTGCTTGATACTGGTTGGCATAATGCGTTCGCTAAGTAAGAGGTTAATAAGACTGCTTTTGCCAGCGCTGGTTTCTCCTGTTGTAGGAAAATAGGAAGGGTTTTAAAGAAAGAAACACGAATTTCATTCTTACGATAGGGAATCTGAAAATTAGCCCTTTTACACCGCTGGATTAAAAGCGAATCGTACCTTCAGACAGATAATTTTTCGGACCCCGACCGAGCTACATGAGTTAACCTCTGAAAATAATTACCAAATGCCCCAGCGGTAAAGTCCTTTCAAGCACTAATTGAGGTGTTCCCTAGTCTTTCAACACGTCAATTACTTTTTGTTATTTTCAGTTTTCATTTCCCCCATAAGCTCGTCTCAAAGTTATCAGAGGATCACTTGCTGGAGGACTGCTAAGATTGCGAGGCGAAAAAACTGATGCAGACCAGGCCACTCTATGAGAACAGTGTTCCATGGCTTTCGTTGTAAGAGGATGCCGACAACGAAAGTTCAATGATGAAATTGGTGAATCATGATCTAACCAAAGAAAACTTGGGGAAAAACCCTGAATTTTGTATGGGAACGATTAAAATGGTTTCAAGTTTACTGTTGCAAGACTTACCAAGAATGAGGACAGTGTATCTCTCGGTTGCGAGATCCCTAAGACATGCCTCAGCTTCCTTCCGAAAGTCATTTACTTCGGTCTCGCTCACTGCTCGTGTTGTCTTTAGGTAATCTTTAACTTTCAAATAGTACTCTTCTGGGACTCGTCGGCGGTCGCGTGTTTGCTCTATATCGTCTAAGATTCGCTGATATCCCTAAACAAAGAACGGTTATTTCATAAATGTAAAATCTTGGCCGGAAGTGTTTGTTCCTAAAAGTGCAAAGTCCCCTACCATTTTGATTCATATGGTATGCCTATTTGCATGCTTCCAAAGTAGGAAAGAGACTGATGATTTTTATCGGCGTTCTGTCTATATGTGGGGAGTTTGAAGCCCTTTAGTGATTGATTGGGATTAATTTCACCTCCGCTGTTGCTCCGCTTACAAAGAATGGTCAGAATGTATACAAATCTCTACTCTACGTGCACGGCAGTCGTCTTGTTGTCTCAGACCTCTTTCTCGGGTCCGCTTCCGTTTCACACTAATACGCAATGGCCAATTTACACGTTTAAGTTTCTACTTCGTTTCCGCATCTACTTCCTGCGAAATCCGTGAAGATTAAGAGGAAATGCTTGTCAATAGGACTAATGTGTGAGATGAGCCTGTTGTCGATGTAAACCACGGAGTATTTTTAAAATAAACGATGACATGCACAAATTTTTAGATACTTCGATTGTTTAACGGAAGCTCGCCCGGTCAGTGATGATCTACCTATAAATACATAAGTCAAGAAGAAACTTAATTTTGAGAGATCAGCGCTTAGAACAAGCATGATTGAAGGAAAACAAAACCTTGCATCAACTTTGATATTCTGTTTACAACTTCATGCTTTTAGTGGAGTCGAGTAATCTATTCTATCTGTTACAAATGGTAACATTCATAATACGTGATGTACTGTTTATTTTAAAACAAGGTTCTGAAAACCATCGTACGTTTTCGATGCTAAAACTTTTTTTGCTTTACTTTTTGACGAATTATACAAACATGTAAGTCTAGATGAAACATAGTGTCCAGTATTAAGCGCCCCGTACCCGGAAAAACAGGCAGAAAACATACGTTCGCGTCAATTTTGAAATTTTGTGTACACAGTTTATGCTTTACGCGAAATGAAATTTCGTAGGTCTGCTCTCTGACATAAACGATCACATTGCATGAGCATTGCACAAGGTTTTGGAAATCATACGACCTTGTCACTGATGTTACTTTTCAGTCAGTTGACGAAATGTAAAAATTTATAGTTTTGCATGTCTTCCGTGTAAATAAGGTATGTGTGTGTTTGACCTCGATTGATCGATGAGAGCTTACCTTCTCTAAAGTTCCATTTGTTTTCCTTAACTCAGCGACTCTCTTTTCGCGAAGTTCTTTTGCCCTCTCCATGTCGGTAACCTCTCTCTCTTTGACACATAGTAGCTCTAAATCTTGCGCGACCTCCAAAAGACTCTCGCTTCGCGGTCTAACGGACATCGGTTTCGACTGGCGTCTCATCCTACTTTGAAGTCTAGTCACTGAAGGTGGTCATTAAAACTATCGAGTCTTTCGCGAGGATTAATTTAAGCTGAGTACAATAAGGCGTATGACTCAGTGGCCTTAGGTCTTCTGTGGAAAGTTCAAAGCTGTCGGAGCAGTGAATTCGAAGAGCGTCCCATTTCCGAAGAGTGACTGTCACGGAATGATACTAATTCAGGAAGTTCAACCTTTTCACCTATTTTTGTCATTTTATACAAGTGATCAGTTTACTTAAAGCAATAACGGAACTTACAGAAAAGAGGAAATCACGTATTCGTAAAATGTACTTTCGTGGCAAATTTCATCAAGACACGTATATAGATAGCGGAAAATCGTTCATAACGGAGCAAATATTTTTTGACAGTTTTACAGTCTTATCAAATGCAGAACTTGAACAGAGCTTAACCAGCCAGATTCTCTGATCACGAGGTGTCATTTAAGCTTAATTCAAGCGCAAGAGATTCTAAATTTAATCGGGTTTTTTGCCGAAACCATTAGAGAGACAATGGATAGGCATTCAGTTAAACAAATGATAGTGTAGTGGCGTGTTGATCTGTCGCCTCGGTTTGTAGTTCTTTTGATTGACGTGACAGTGAAGACTATCCACTGCGAGTTACGTGATGATCAATCCTTCGTCGTATGTGAACGACTCGTTGTCAACGAATAATTATTTGAAATCTTTGTATGTTTTTTACTGCCACGCAGGGATAATTATCAAACGAACAATTGACGGTTTTTAGAAATTTCTTGTTGGAAACATGTAGCTTGACCTTCAATCAAACTGCAACTATGTTGATATCACGAGACTCCGGCGTTGTGCGTACGATACATTTATCACGTTATCTGACATGGATAGAGTTTTCGCCCGGGCGGTTTGCCTGGGCATCTTTTGACTCAATTTCTCTTTCACCCCAGATATGCTTGTAGAGAAGGACCTTCCGCTTTCAGCCTGCACAAATGTTATTACATCTATCCCAATAGCTTAGTTTTACTCCGAGTATCTGGGAAAAGTGTAGAAATGTAAATGTAGTACGTTATCTGAGAATTTCTCGGTGACGTGTTCGCTCATTATGGGACCCAAGATTGGTTGGACTAAGCTCAGATCATTGCGACGGAAGTCAATTCAAGGACATAAACACTTTTGGGCAACGACTGTCTTTATTTCAACTGTCATACTATCCCTTAAAGCGTTGCCTACACAACATAATTTTCAATCAAATTTTTTTACAGTTAAAGCATACTGTAACAATCAAATAACAACTTGTCTAGTCATACTGTATAACAGCATTTTACGATAAACATGGTTTTAAAAATGACCTCAAGGTTAATTTTATTTCAGCATACTTCATTTTGAAATGATCGTCCCTCGACGGTCTAAAATGTCTAGTTAACTATCGAATAGTAAAAACTCCGTTCAGAATATCAGTTATACACACCCTAAAATGATAAACTATTTTTTTTCCTAAATGCCAATCAGTGGGATTTGACTCAGGATATGAGTCGTCCTGGTTAGTTCTTTCACTCGCATTAAGCTTTGTTACTTATTCTCTGTCTCAAAATCTTTCATGGAAGGAAGTTGGGCAGATTAACGCTTACATGCTGAGGTGTTTGTGTGTGGCGTTTAGAACTGTAAAACAGCACCTTTCAGCTTTAATAACAAAATAACAGTTATTATACTGAAATTCAGTTAAACACTCGTTGAGGTCTCCATGAGAAGACCTAAAAGCGTTATTATCATAGCAAACCCTGTTGACGGATCATTTTGCTGCGTTCCGTAGTCGTTTTAGCTGGGATGCTAACAGACATCTACGGTGCAGCTTGCATTTAACTTCTTTAAAGGATGTTTAAGGACATTCGCAATGATTGAACATTGAGAAAATCGTACTGTCATACTCAACATCATTATCATAAGTACCAAAGCGTCCTTCATCACACCCGAAGAAAGAGAGCCATTTGGCATTGAACAAAAAGGAACCTCTAACAATTTACAATCAAAGTTCCCCAGGGACAGGCGTCAGGAAATGTCACCTATGCCAGATTACAATAATGCAGTAAAATCTGAAGCACAGGAACCAATACGCTGATAAATATTGAAGAGTGATATCGATATGATTGTGAACCGTCTTTTTCGTCGGGGTATGTTGGAATCCCTGGGATCCCTAGGTTCGTGTCTTGTTCTGTGGGGCGCGATGTGGTTGTACATGGCAGACGTGTCGGCTTGGTTTTGTACCGACACAGTAGATCCGGCACCATGGCTTTTTGGCCAGAGTAATCCAATCGGTAACAAGAGAGCGTCCCTGGATCAATTGGCTCTCCGCATTCTACTTTCTGTAAAGTAAGAGGGAAGATACAAGCCATCTGGTAAGGGTGACAGCTAGAGTTGTAGCGAGGGGAGAAACCCGTCGGCTAAAGTGAAAAATTGAAACTTAACGGAAATTTAATCAGAAGGACGAAAAAAAAAAAAAAAAACTGGTGTGGCCAGCTGAGTTTGGAGGAAGTGATTTTTGAGTAGCCTTCACTCAACACTCTACAATAAAGTATGGAGGAGTGTTACAAACTGCTGCTGATTCTTAATTTTGTGGTAACTGACCATTGCTTGAAAGTAAAAAAGCAAGAGGTTAATTGGTCTTTACGGGACTTTCGGAAAACCCCGACAGTGACACCAACAAGAACCCATCGGAATACAAATATATAAAAGACAATGGCTCTGCACGTTCGTGCATGAAAACTGTGTGCATTTTCAACAAAAGAAGAACGGGAGATCAACAAAGTTTGCAAAATCTGAGTTTGGGAAGGCTCCATTAACATGTTATGCTGAAAGGGAGTTCTGGCGAAGTTAAAGAAGTTTAACTTGTAGAATTAACTACTTTCGAGATCAGTCCTATGAGGAATAAAACTTCATTGTTGGGATGTCGTTTAATATGATGTCACCGTCATAAATATCTTACTGTATGCTTAATAAGAAAAGAAGCCTTGGTTGTGCTCTGTTCTGTTCGAAAGCACGCAGGAAGCGGCTACAGAGAAAGAAATTTAGGGAAAAACACGAGACGTAGTCGAGTGTTTCTCTCCACTTCTCCCAGCTCGCTTGTCCCGAAATTTCACTTTCAGTTAACGAAAAAAAACTAGGGAGAAGTCCGGGAAATGGTCGGACATAGTACAAATTGCACGGCAGATGGCCTGACAGCTTTCGCTCAGCTAGGTACTCTGTACCCTGATAGTGCACCCTCTTTTGAATCAATGACAGCGCATGTTATATCCGAACTTTACTACAATTCCTGTTAGGGAAAATAAAAAGTGATCAATTGAAAGATCCTCGTAAAACAGGAGGTACTTACTGGTAACCCCTCCTCAGTATCCCAGTCAGCCGGGCAATCGATGCTGTTACAATATTGAACTTTCTCAGAAATACTGGGTTTCTTATTAGCAGCACAGCTTGTGCTTGGTCCATAATCTGTAGGGTTGATCTTCTTACGGCAGATAACTCCACGTGTTTGTACCCCATTGCCACACGATTTGGAGCATGGTGACCAATCAGTAGTGTGCCAACTGAAAGCAAAATTTCTTGAGTTACTTATAATAATGTTGCTGAATACACAAGACCGTGGCACACTGGCCTCTCTCTCTACGTCAAATGCCACACGACTACAAGCTACTCTACCGCAATAGATCATTCACATCAACGCTTAGATCTCCTTGCTCGAGATTTCAATCCTTGCTCGATTGAATGCGGAGCAGACTCCCAAAATATCTTCTACCAAGAAAAATTCAGCTGCTGTGAGCCAACACCCTCCTCTGCTCCGTTGAAGAAGGCATCTGAAGCCATTAGCCAATATGATTCAACCCAAACTCACGCTAGTGAGAAGAAGGAGATCATAAGTTCTTTTTTTCATTTAGTAATCAACTGTCAAGGATGTACACAGCACTTACTCCGAGGGACAGTCCTTAACCTGGCATGATTCACTAACAATTTTCTCTCCACACGCCGCATCGCTGGCGGGTGTTTTGTCATCTGACCGTATACATCTCGCTGAACGTGTACGAACCCCTGCAAGTGAATACGCAAACCAATACCGTCAAGCTATTCCATCAGTACGGGTGGAATATCAGATGGTAGATAATCGAGAAGGAAAGAATCAGCTTCTGGCTTATATCAAATTAAGGCCAAACAGCGCGAATAAAATCAGAATTTCTTTCATTAAATTCATCCGACATCTTGATGAATCCTGTTCAATACACTAAGCCGTCGTAAAAAAAAGAGAAAAGATAAATGAGTAATAAACGTAAGCCGGATCTACCTTGTGGAGGAAGGTGACCAGATTCCGTCACTACCCGGTTTTTTCAAGAAAAGCTGTTTCATACATGACGTATCATTTCATGGATTTACTGTAATACCTTCTATGTTGAGGATATCTGTCGCCGAGCTCAGGCGAATTTACTCAAATTCTCATCTTGAAAGAAAATTACAGCTAAAACTCCGGCTGGTCGTAATATGGCTGAGCACTACCTTTATTATGATAAATCAAACAGTTGGTTTGCCTGGACTTATCGAGAACAACAAAAAGACGTGCGCAAGAGAACAGAAACGCGCAAGATTTCTCTTTCCCGCTTGCACCGCTGAATCCCTCGCACCTAGTTCAAAGTTTATACCTTGGCCACACGTTGTGGAACAGAGGGACCACGGAGATGTCTCCTTCCATTCGTATTTATTCTCAGGCGGTGTGTCGGAAGGTTGAACGACTGTTTTATAATCATAGTCTACTCCTGGATTTCCACCTTGGACATAAACATACTGAAAATAAGGAAAGAAGGACAGCTTGAAACCATAAGGTGACAAAGTAACCTACCGGAATGTCCGACAAAGAACTACTTCTTCCTATGTAATCAGTGTAAACAAATGCATGGCTTCATTGAGTTACGCTCAACGAATATTATAACATGCTTAGTGAGGTATAGTCTGTGAGGGAAGACGGAGGCTCTGCTACTTACGAGACCATACCACACTTTAACAAGATCAATAGTCTTAATAGCGTTTACAGATCTCCCCGCTCGTCGCCATGCAGGTTTTAGTACATGCACTCCGTGGTGACTCTGTCGGAATACTTGTTAATAGCCTTTATTTCAATAGAAACTAGGATCTTCCTAAGAAAAGAAATCAATAAACGGAGGAAAAATGCTTACCACTACTCTCAGAGCCTGATCTGTGGGACCTGGAATCTTGAATTCTACTTTAAACTTTGACTGCTTGCGGGTGTACTGGATAACGGTGTTAGCAGCAGAAACTTCTTGCACCCAACTACTTACGTTGCCCACTAAATATGTTCCATCGTCTGCTTGAACCGCTGAAATGTATCGAGCGCTTTGATCACCAGCGTGAAAATAACGTCAGATAAGTGACATCAGTTACAAAAACGGTTGGTTTGGGGCAGTTTAAGATAAGTTGTTAAATTTAGTGGAGGGGGGAAGGAGTTACTTGTTCTGTTTTGCTTTGCTCTGCTCTGTGATTGGTTTGAAAACTCGTCAGTACCACCATCTCTGCGAAACAACCGTAAATCCAATACCAATCATGACTTCTCTTCATCGTTTTTTCTGCACTTCAGACAGTTCGATCGATTTCACTTTGCGACTCCCCGATTGGCTCCTCGTGATGTCTACCTTTGTCCTGATTGGTTGCTGTGATTACTTTTACGACACCCAATCAAAATGTTTTCTTATGTCTAACACACATTGAGTCAAACTTAGAGGATAAGTAGACTCCATCGGCGATTACAAAGTATAAATGCATGAAATTACCACACTGAGTGTGTTTAGTTATTTCAAGGAGTAAACTTTACCTCAGAAGACTGTCTTCAAATGTGCGAGAAAATTGATCCCCGACACCGCTAATTTGAATCCTACATTGTAACCTGGTCACTTACTTCCCATAAAGAAAAATTTCGCTTCGCCACTTTCAATCGCCTGGCGATCTGTTTAAAAAATTAGGAACTAAACAACAAAGCACTCTTGACTTAAGCAGCGACTTCGTTCTACCTTCGGAGGAACAATTGTTTCTGAGTCGCGCGCTATGATTCATAGATTTTAATCAATGATTTTGAGCACAATTATCTAAAGTGAGATTTATTTTTGGAATCTCAATGTGGTCAGTGGCAGTATTTCATGCATGTATTTTTTTTTAATGACAACAACAATTGATATGGTTTCTGGAGCGTACATCTTCTTTAAGTTCTCCTGTTGGTTTCTCTTTCATTCTCTCGTCTTTTCTTACCGAGGTAATTTTTCGATGATCGCCTCATTGTGAAAGAAACATCGTAAGCACCAATGGGGAGTCTTTGAACGAGTTCTGCATTTTCAAGACCTAACATTGAAATAAAAAAATAAGCAAAAAACTGTTATTCGCTAGCCATTTGTGTTTTTACAGAATTTTTCAATAATAAAATTTTAACTGGTCATAGCAACCGTCATCATGGACAACTAATACTAGTTGTGTACTCCCGGAAATAGTTGAGGGGCGATAGAAATCTTCACTTTGCCTTGTATTTGTTGAAAAGCTCTTAGACATAAGATAATAATTATAAAATAAGTGATCAAGGAAACAGAGAATCAAACAAACTCGAGTGAAGTCATGAATTACCGAAGCCGACACATAGCAGTTATCAAATAATACGATACAATCAAACAAAGTAATAACCGACTGATTGATAAAATTTTATGTAAAACTTGAAAAAAAGGCCGTAAATAAAACCAGGCGGCAACTCCATCAGCGAAACATGACTCAAAATTTTAAAGAGATGTTCATAGCGGAGCTCGTGCAAGCGAATCGCGCACCGGAGCCACATACTTAATATCAGCATCTATGCTTCTTTAGTATCCTTTTATTTGCCTTCCTTTAACGTAATCAACAAGAACCGTGTTACTGAGTTATGAAATGTACCTTTTACTGTGAAAGAGGCCGTGTAACTTCCAGAAGTAACGAAGCATTCGTCACCATCCCCGCCGCATTTGCCACAACGATCCACCATTGTGGTAGAATCCAGAACGTGATCACATCCAACCGGCTATAAATCAAGTAGCATTTCAAAACCCAAATTACCTAACACCCTTAGGTACATTTTTTATGACGGAAGTAAAAACGTTAATATTATTCAACCTATTAGCCTACTCATTTCTAGGAGTGACGAACAAAGAATGTCTCCTCAAAATGCTTAAAACCAAACTTTGCATTACCGGCTCAGAAAGCCGGCAATGAGAAGAAAGGAAAAATATCGACTGGGATTTACTGTTTGATTTGAAACTTATTCCTTGGAGCTAAATGTTTTTTTCTTTTTAACAATTTTAATCACAATTCGCCTTGATATTCTTCATTTTCAGGATTCCTTGAAGGTAACGCACGGTTGCAAACTTGTAACATTCTTTGACGCTTATCAAGGTCGGTATCAAAACACTTCTTTAAGCAAGAATAGCCTCGCTCAGAAAATATGCGAACGGATTCCTTCCATACCCCCCCCCCAAAAAAAGGCACAGATAATTTGTTTTGCAATATCATCTCTAACTATGGTAACTTACTCGGCACATCCCTCCGATACACACATCATAGGTGTTCAGGACTTTTTTACAACTTGTTCCGTCTTCAGCTGTACCTGCGCTACTCACACTGCTTCCGATACGACAGAATAATGCACAAGGGGCTGAGATTAACAAATAAAATAAGTAAATTAAGAAAATGAAAAAACCAATACAAATGTAACTTCCTTAAAAGCGAAAGTGGGTTTGTAATTGGTACAGTCAAAGTAACACACATACATCTGGTCGGATGAATGTAGGGAATTGAGCCAGGTCTCTTCCTCAAACACTGCTCTTCTCTGAATGTTTTCGCTCCTTCTTGACAGGGCTACAAAAAAAGGAGATAATGTTGATCAATTAATTATGTAGTCAATCGATTTGAAATTTTTTTGGGAACCCCTGAATGAAATAGAAACAGAAGATCCTTTATCATAACTATTCCTGACCTGGACATTTCATGCGGCGTCTCTCTGTCTCACTAAAAACATTAGAGCCTTGGTTGGCAACCAGCGTAGTTTATGAAACGTTATTCCCGAGAAATCACCAACATGGAGTCTTAAAGTAACTTGAGAGGGACTGCGTCTGTATCAGTCTGAGAGCCTCCGTCTCTTGCTTCACTTTTCTCATGTTCGTATCAAAGGAGAACTATGGTTCTGACACCTTCAAAGTTTCATCTCAGCTAATTAAATGCATTAAAATGTACTCCCTACGCGATTTGAGACTCTCAAATGTGCTAAAAATTCGTCCATGGATGATGGCATTTTGAAACCAACTCAGAAAACTAGTCGCAAACACAAATCCGCAACGTGCAGTTCAGAAGAAATAAAAATCATTACTTATAACTTGAGTCAATAATCCTTATTTGCGTAACTCTCGACTGTTTAAACAAGTGTAAAAATTTGAGGAGAGAGGTTTGAGACTTGCGCACGACAAAATTAATCAGCAATGGTGATGTACAGAATTCAAAATGTCGGAATCCGTGCTCAAAGTTTTGTAATATTTGAATACAAGTTAGTTTACTCTTTGGAATCTTTAAAAGCGGTCAGTGTCATGATGCTATATGTTCTTTTTTTTGGCAGACAAACGATAAATTCAGATTGAGGACACTTCTCCGAAAAACAATCACGTGTACTGAATTCAAAGATGTAACTCACATTAATCAAGCAGAGTCCGCTTGTTCTCAAACAAAACTCAAACAAACTGTTTTCCAAGACTAACCTTCGAATTACAAATTTTCCACTCCTTGCTTATTCCCACGCAGGATTTCCCGCCATTAGATGGTCTAGTAGTAAAGAATAAGGTAGGTGAAGATGTCTGATTACTGGTGATGTTTCACTTTATTTAAAACAAATTAATCCCTAACTGTGCCTAACTGCCCCTAAAATGAATAAAGAGGGTAAGTTTCCAAAGAAACTGTGGTGCTGCGTCGGTGGGAGTAACAAAGTAATATGGTTTTATCAACTGAGTTTCACTCTGACGAAGACCTAACGCTCGAAACGTCAGTTTTGAAACTCTTTGCGGCGACCAATTTACATTATCACCTCAGTTGATAAAACCATAATCTGTGTGGTAAGCAACACTATAGTAAACAAAATTACTTTTGAATCCTGGCATCACAATCGATGAATTTATAATATCCTGAGAGAGTTTAAATATCAGAAAATAGTCACCATATATCTTTGCAAAAAAACACACTCGTGAAATGATTATGGCACAGGTTACGAAAAACCATTAAGAGAGGTTCGAGATAGGGCCTTAAAAAGACCCGCTAAAGACGCTGAGTCACGTCTTCCTTAAACTTAAAGAATACTACTGACAAAAGATTTTTGCAGTGCGATGAGCAGATAAAAAAGAGGCAATCATAAACCAAAATGAAAAAAAGAGGGCAAATGAAGGAGACTAGAAGGAATGCAAGAAATGTTAAAAAAATGTTGACAAAGATATCCACAGAATTGACAAAAACCATAACCAAGAGAAACAAGGATAGCTGGTTATGGAAACATTTTCCCAAGGATTTTTCAAAAAATAAAACTCACCGAGTGAGGTTAATAGAATTAAAGTTCCTAGATGAACCTTAGGGTTCTGTAAATACCAAATACTTAGATGGAGCTTCAACGACAACAACAAACAACTGGACTGATATATATAAAAAAAGACAACTAAAAGAAGCAAACAACGAGAACAAGAGAAATAAAATCATACGAACAGGTTGGTTATATTTTAATGGCCAATGCGTATTAGATTTGTCACTATTCAAACTTACGCAGGGTTTGTACAAGTACGGGTTCTGTACGTGACTCCGCTGTCACATGGCCGTGTACATGGAAGGTCGTAACCAGACCACCGACTCCACCCTCCGTGAATTCTTGGTTTACCATTGTCTACACATTTGCCGCTTATGCACCACTGAAATTGTAACACAGAATCTTAATCAAGAAAAGGAAAATAGAAAAGTTTTTTTCACTGGTAATTGCGCAGCATGGAGTTTATTTTGATCTGAAATTACACGTTCGATTTCAAAATTGGACGGGCGCACATTGCGGGTTCGATTTTAAATCGAACGTATGATTTGAGATCAAAATTGCCTATCAGGAAGTTCAATTTCCTCTTTTATCATAATATTCATTTACATATGTCACTAATCTGGATAAAGTTTAGTCATTGGAAAAAGAAATGTATAATTTTAGAACCAGCGGTATCGCTGAGAGCCAATCAGATCATTTGCAAGAACCATCAGTGATTCGAAATAGAAGAAACAGAGATGTACATCATCTTGTAGTTGTCGCTGTCATTCATTTGTACTCGAAATCCGATAAATATGAGATCAATGAATAGTGATGCCCGTTACTGCCTTGTAGAGAAACATTCATGGGGAAATAGTTTTTTAGGTAGTGTTTCTTTCAATCAACTCAATTTTATTCGATAAATTCAGATCCCCTAAAATTTCGTTTCTTTCATCTTCGTTGGTAAAATCTTTTGAAGCATATTTTGCTGGCCTGCAAACACTCCCAGTCTCGACGCTACGAAAGACGACAGAAGCTGAAGAGCTACTGAGGCAGATAGAGCCTGCTGACAGGGTAAGGTAGATAGTGAGCAAGAAAACCGCGAGGGATTTAGTCGGTAATAATTCCATGATAAGTGCTTATTTGTGACGGTATTCATGGATGTTTCCCTCGTGCCATGAAGAAAATGACCATAATTAACACTTCCAGACGCTCATAAGATCATATCAGGATAACTTTCCATGTCTTACCTCACGTTCTCCACATGGTGCTCCATCAGCTATCGGTGTCAATCGGCTCAGCTGAGCTCCACCTTTAGGATTAAAGCAGTATAACCTATCGCATACTCCCTACAAGAATAAAAAATAAAATATTTTTAAAGTAGACACTACTTCGAAAGAAAGGGTGACGAGTTTAAATCGAGGGAATGCTTTATCTCCAGATAAACCATTCACTAGGACAGTGTCGGATGGCCCGACATATTCACTGCGTATTGCGTAAGACCTCTTCTTAACTTAAGAGGTATACCCATTCTTCAAGCCACAGGGCCCAATAACCTCAAAGGTTCCACCTCTTCCTAAGTGCTTCATCAGTCTCACTATGGAGCAAAGTACTTTGGCTGATTTGTATGAAAAGAATGGCTGATTTTCCAAATCCGCTAAATTTAGCAGAACAATAAATAGACGATTTCAAATCCGAGAAGAATTTGCTTCTCATTGATTCACAAATAAAACTGCATGAGGTAAACCTTGGCTTGTATATGTAGTAGTTCCTCTACAAAAGCTCACCTTTTGATAGGGTGACAATATGTAATCATCGGTGTACTGCATTCTACACTGAGCGTCCCCGTCAAAGATTTCCCCGGGAAGTTTGCCATGATACTCAGGTTTGAGGGTTGGAAAACTGCCGACAGGTGTGTTATCTAAACACCAGGACTTACCACTTCTGTAAGAACAAAGTGATAAAATATTACCCCAACAAATGTTAGGAGGCAGTTCCCAGAGGCTATACTTTGGATGTGTCAAAGTAAACAAAGCCCAGCTAACGCAGAATGTTTTCTAATTTCTCTTAATAGATTTTTCTCTTGGTGCAAAAAGAATGAGAGACAAATCAAGTGTGGTTATTTTCCAGATTATAATGGAAATTAATTTGAAGTAGCCTTTAAAAAATGTCGATCATTTTAGTCAAAATACGACTGTAAATATCCCTTTGTTTCATAGGTTTATAAAACGCAAACTGATTTTTAAAAAAAGGGCACTCACCCCAAGACTTCTTCAAGTTTCTTCCGAGAACAATTCGACCAGGTGGCTGCATAGATACCACTCGGTAAAGTAGCATCCATAATGTATTGATGCTGAGGACACCCTACATCTTTATCATGATCAAGGAAAAGGCTGCAAGAACAGTCAGAGGTAAGCCTATACTTCTCAAGATTCTCCAGTCTGCGCTCAAAATAATTGGTTAGATTTTATAGTAACGTACATGCGTTTCCAACCTCTGTGATTGTAACAAGAAGTAGCAATAGCAATGAATGAATGAAACCTAGACGCATATTTGCGTTCACCCGGGCTTTTTGTTGGATGCAAACTTTGTTTTGTGTGCCTGAATTTGTGTATTTTTTTTTTGGCTTATCCTGTAGTTGTTTTGGTATGCCAGAGATGCAGGTTTCTCACATACGTATACAGAGAGCGGAAAAAAAAATTATAATGTAGTGTCATGCATGCGTGTTAAGGATTTGAATGCGATTTGTAACCGAACGAAAAAATAAACGAAGCCGGAATTTTAACACAAGCGTTTACTTTGGAAAGCCCGAGTAAATAGTAAATAAACAAAACAAAACAAACAAACATAAAATTTACCGACAAAAATGTCGATACATCAGGTAATTGTGTCACGTCAACTATCAACTCATGACACACGAAACTTCCGACAACCCTAGTAGTGATACTGTTTACATATTACAATTTCAGAGTGAAATTTGATCTGGTTAGTTCGTTTTCCTAGGCGAATATGCGACAAATAAATCTGATATGGCAGAGCGTGCAAGTTGCAGGCAAATACTGACATCGGGCAAAACGTAAAAATTCAAACAACGCCACGTTGTCACTTACTTGTGACCTATCTCGTGTGCGACGTGAAGTGCAGTTTGAAGACCAACATCAGCGTTGACGTTACCATTCCAGCCTGACTTGGAACACATCATGTTAGCAATTGCGAGACCTATGAAATATACACATACAAAATTACATTAATAACACGTTATTCCCCATTCCTTCCTTGCGACTTTTTATTTATCCAAAAATATTTGAAAATTTCCAAAACATTACCAGTTTTTAGCTGATTACAAAACTAAGTAAAGAGTAACTTACCTCCGACTTTTATCCAACTGCAAAAAGGGAAGAAAGTGGTAAGACGGTCAATTCACAAATTTCATCTCATGTATGGGAAAATGTTCTTTTTTTATCATTTATCTGGAGTTAAAGGTTACTACGTACTCTGACACGTAACTGAACACGTCATAGTGATCCGGATCGCCATTACTTTTTAGTGTTGCAGGTCCCGCCCATTTCAACATCTTTGTCAGCTTCTTGCTATTGCTGTCTATTTTGCTAAAATTAGCCTGAGTACCAAAGAAAACAACGTTTTCAGCCGCGATTAAACTTGTATCATTTGGTTTTTACCTTTTCTTTTAAAAATGATTTCTGACCGGAAGTGTCTTTAGTTGCACGATAGGACTTTTCAGAAACAGCAATATAAAAATAGAAGACTTTCATTTTTGTTTCCTCTTTTTCGCCAGCCTCGAACACGTCCGCCAGAATCACTTTTCCTAGCTTACGCCTTGGTCTTCAGCGTTTACACATGCACAATTGGCTCCAATCAGGTGTATCTGCTCTGACTTCTCACTTTGAACATCTTTGAAGCTGCAATGTTATGCAAGGATTTCCATAAAATGTTTTTCTAAATAGAGTCGACTTTTCTTGGCAATAAAGGGCTATTGTGTTCACATAATTAACAAAATGATACATGATTGCTTGTAGATATGAAATTTTCTTCTCGTGTTTAACCCGACATCTCACTCGTTCGCTGCGCTCACTCTGTGCAATCGAAGTCAACACTCGAAGAGAAATTCCATAATTACGCGCGCCCATGTACTATTCTCTATTTATGATATCATTGGCTTTTGGTTCGCTTTTACCAAGATCAATTTAAACTGCTGCATCTTTGGTAAACTTGGTTGTTGATGGTTTTTCTTACCAGTGTTACTGTTGACTCCATAACAATGATCTTGGTAACCACGTAATAGACCTTGATTTTTCCTATACTGGGATCTTGATACATAGCAGCGACCTATCAAAAAGAAAAATTTCTGATAAATATGAAATATCTGTCATTCATCTTTCACCACAGCTTTTCAGGATAGTAAAGTTGGTTCCGAAAATAGCAACCCTTTCGTTCAAGCGAAACCCCTGCTGAAGGGAAGCTCTGAATATCAACGGATACACATAAAAATTGTCTTCTGACGTAAAATAATAACCTGCGAGCGTTTTTCAAAAGCTGCGGACACAGTATATATTTGCCAGAGAAAGTGGACTTTTAAAAAAGCTTCCACGCTTTTTAGAGCTCACTGATTAAGATAAAATCAAAATCGTTTTGTCTTGAATATGCCAGAACTCACATACCATGTTGGCAATAGTGAGAAGTATTGTGGCAAATTGATTTGTTCCATACTTCTCTTCGTAGGTTTTAGGAACAATTAACGCTGCTTCAAGGAACTTATAGTTGCTTGCTGCACGAGTTTTCCTACTATGTGTAGATCTTTCAACACGATCCTTTCCTGAGGAAAAAATCAAGATAACAAAAATCGAACTCGACGAGAGCATTTACTGATGAAAAATCATGTAAAGAGTTGCAAGTGAAAAAAAGACCTGGAGAAAAACAAGTTGAATTTAGCACAGATCGATACCTGCATCTTGTGCCCGGATCAAATTGGAATTTGGAGTGCTTATTATTGTAGTGGAAGGCCACAAACACTGAGAGAACAACAGGGCGGAAACAACCAGCGAAATTTCAACCTGAATGGGACATCGCGAATGGAGCTAAAATCAATGTAAAGTGAGGCCAGCGCTCTGACTCCCGCGGCATCTCAGCGGCATCACTGTTCCCAGCTTTTACTTTTTTTTTGCAAAACAAACGAACCTGTTGACTGCACCTCACAGGGAACTGCTTCTTCTTTCGGAATTCTGTAAATCAAGTGTGGTACAGAGTTTGCATTTCTCCTTACTCTCCTGGCCCATTTTAGCGAGAGTGGCTGTACAAACAAAGTTTCTCGAGATGTCCTGATCATACCCATCTAAAGATATAGAATAAATATACTGTCATCGAGGTACCAGCAAAAAACTTGCGTGGTAATAAACACATGCATGTTTGAGCAAGACCACTATTTTGAGAGATTTCAAAGAGGTCAAACAGGGTACAATTGCGCATGCACGTTTGATATACTATCCACCCTTCGTGTTTAATTTCAATCGATTTACGTGAACTTATTTACTTTCCAACTTGTTCTAATAATGCATGTGGCGCTTCCGAAATTGTTGGTCAAAGGTATATGCATATAGGATATTACGTCCGTGATACTGTATGAACCTAACAGAAGTCTCGCTCACCATTGCGTTTTCTGCAGCTCAGTGATAGAACGGAAGCGAGAGAAATGAGAAAGCTCGATTACTCGTGGAGAACTGAGATTTTCTCTTTGTTTAGCATCGTAACAAATAGGATGAAATCTTTCTTCATTTGATTACTTGCCATCCTCCTTATTCTATAACTTGGCATAAACGTTCAGAGAAAAACTCAAGATACCGTCAAAAGTAAGGAATTCTTACCAGGCTTCTATCGCTTTTCAAGGCCACCAAGGAATCTGGATCGGACAAAACTTGCCCCAAGTAATATTCGTTTTTTGGTGCAGATTGAGTCGTTACCATTCCCTCTCTGTGATGTCTTTCAATTACTAAGTTTGATGTCATAAGATTAGTGTTTCGCTTCAATCTAAGCCGTAATTTGGAACCAAACGCGTGGACTTCGTAATGTAAAACATCTGAATGACCCGCGTCTCTTCTGATGCGAAGGGGAGACATAGTCCTCCCAACAACGTCTGTTTGATGTGGCGTAATGATATCGTATTCAGGAACTGTGAAAAGATGGCAAAAAACTTACGTTCTTAGAGGTCTAAAGGTCCGTGTTCAAAACCCGACTGGATCATAGAATTGCGTTTATGGGAAAGACATTTTATTTCACAGTGCCTCTCTCTATCTACAGTAGGAGTAGTTGCTGCGAATTCGAAGTGCGGGGAAAATCGGAAAAAAGAGGAGAGAGTACCCTACAATGTACAGCAAATCTCATCCAGAATAGTAGCGATACTCCCAGTCGCTCATGCGACACAAACTGAAATAAGCTCCGCTGCAGGTGCTGAATTTATCCCAGCTTATTTTTAAGACTGAAACTACAATGAGTGGTACTCTTCCTCCAAGTTGAGATAACAATTGTAATCCCTCAGTATTCCTTCGTGATTCCGAGGCGCTAAGTCAGAGAAGATCTCCTTTAGCAACACCTTAGATGGGCTTACGCCTGCACTACCCTACTTTTATTTGTCCGTGATATCACAACAACACCTTAAAATTGTTAAAAATGCTAAAAGGAATTTTTCTTGTTTTACTTTTTGTATGATCCTTGACGCCAAAGTAACGCTCTATTTCTCTCCTGGTCATGTGATGGTGGAGATGCTGAGTAAAGAATCGTAAAAAAAATAAATACACAAACACCAAAACTAATCGTATGATGCAACCGCTCTGAACTGCTCAAATTAATCGATACATCTCGCAATACTGATAAATCTATCTAATATTCATTTCGATTGAAGCGTGTTGCACTGCATGTGCGACCGTCCCAGTCACTTTTCATCATCGTATCATCATTTGGCAACTCAGTGATATGAGATTGATTTCTGTAACACACATTAGATATGAAACGCAAGCAACAGCAGGTAATCATTGAAAAATAAGAACCGCATGCAATTTTGGAAAGAAACAAGTAGTTTAAATGTCTTCTTCACAGCTAAGGTAGGAGCATTGAAATTCAACTAGTATTAAAATAGTTTTCCGAGGAAAAAAATACGACTTACCTGTTTATATTTTCTTGCTAGGACAACATCTAAGCAAGAAAGATTTGTATAGAAAACCATGTGAATTAATCATTCTACAAAGAGGCTACAACGATTAATTAGTTTCAATTAACCGAAACTTATCCTCAGTCAAAGAGTCTCCTCCAGAGCGTTTGCGCAGAATTCTTGAGTTACCCTCTTATTTTTTTCAGAAATTGCTGATTGTTTGGCAAACGAATGCCACGATTCTGTTTGAAATCTCTTGTACCGTCTTTTTTAAGGGTACATAAATTTATCGTTTAGCATCCTTTAGGAAATAGTGACAGTCAAAGGCCTGCTACTTTTGGGGATAGAGAGTTTGTTCACAATAATTTTCGTACCGTTAGGATATTACGGAAACTAACTTGAATTTTTCTTTTCTTTTGATTCTACAGTGTGTCCTATTGTGAGCGTAAAATGGTTTTTAATACTCTCGACAGAAAGCAAAGTAAAGCCGTTGAATTTGGGGAATATTGTATCGTTGCTATTTCAATAAAATACTAGATAAATTTAACGAAGGTATTGCATGAGTGTCTTACCAATGGATAGAAGCATCGCAAAAACGAGTACAAGCAAATTGAACGATGGACATCGCATTTTGTACACTCTGAGGAGGCAAATAGAAAGGAAAGAATATGCAAGTGAGCTAAATTCACGTACTTTTATGTACACATGCAACAATAAAACTAGTACAGTGCGCAAATAAATTACCCGTTTTGTGGCGCGTAAGATGTGTAGAAGATGGCCGACGGAAATGTCATATATCGGATTGTGTGTAATAGTGCAATAACCTTCGGAGGAAGGGAAATGATTAAATAATGACCAATTTGATTTGGATTTGTTAATCTTGTCAACTGCAGCGTTCCTTCTTTGAAGGTATTATAGCAAAACTAAAAACAGTTGAGTGCATTTGAGATTCCTCTTCGCCATGCGATTTCTGTTTTTTTAAGTACTTTTTTCTCTCTAAGTTTAAAAAGATGATGAAATATCAGAAAAATGCTCAACTGACACTTGTAAATTCCCACAACATACCAGAACAATGGAAGTTATTATTAACTCCGCGTTCAATGAAGTGCAAATTACTTGTTAGGTCACATTTGTTACGGATATATTTGCTCTATTTGCAATACATTTGGAAGGTTCAGTGCAATACATTTTGGAAGGTTCATTTGCAGTACATTTGGAAGGTTCAGTGTGGAGAAAACTGCAACAGAAATACAAATTAAAGGGTGAAGAGAGAGGAGCAACATTTGAGCAACTTTTGAGTTGGTTAATATTACAGGTCACTTCCTATCCCTAGGTTGTCGTCTGTCTGTGAATATTTCATTTCCGCCAAAGTAGTCAGATCGTTAAGCTTACAAGAAGAAGCATTAAACAACTCCGAGTTTGTACAGGGAGGATGAGTATGAATTTCAAGCTTTTCAAATCACACTGAGTTTTGAATCGTTCATCAGGGAAAGGGAACATGGCTCCGCCATTTTGTTGGGATGCACTATTGTTGTACAGTAATACGCGAGAAGTCAAGTCTACAGGAAAAACAAATGCTAACATTTTCTACTGTGAAAGCATAGCTGAAAGTACTGAAAATGGTAAAAAAAAAACTTTACCATTCCGTTGCTATTTTTAGCCAGCAAGGCTCTCAGCCTTCTTCATCCCGAGCACGTAGCCTACCTAACAAAGGAAAACTTTGGAATCTTCTAGCACCAGCATTAATCACATGTGGACGCCGATAAAAATGCTGAACCACTATCAAAAAAACGATATTTATCACCTTATAATTGCAATGTTAATATTCTAATCATTTCACTCTCTGTTTGTCTTGCACATATCAATTGTCAAATAATTTTGTGTTCCCCTTCATTTTATGTTTCATGTTCAAGCCTCGACATGACATATCTGTTAACGGATACAGACTGGAACTCGAAAGACCACACTTCACCTGACTATAGAGCGCGAAATCGTTCGTCTATGTATACCCTTCATCGCGTCTAAAGCTGAGCTAGATTCGACCATAAGTCGTAAGATGTTACCGTAACCATAACAATCATGACGATGACATGAAACGCTCGTCCGAGGCAGTGAGATTCCTCACAATTTCCCTCCGGTGTCCTTGAATTGAGTTCGCTGATTCTGGAGACGCGAATGTTTTGGTTAAAAAACGTAATACAGTGGCTTGAAACAAGATAATATCGAGACGAAGCCCAGCGCGGTCAGCATTAAGAAAGAGGCGCAATGATATTCTCTGCGCGGTAGTTGCTCTTTTCGTATTATTGTCACTGTCTGAATAAATTTTAGTTCAAGATGTCTATCAAAACTTGGCGGTCAGAGGCGTGGTTTTTCTGCGGTCGGCTTTAATCCTGATCTTAAGACGTAACACGCAATATTGTCTGAATATCGATTGACGTCAACCACGTTTTTGAGGGTTCATTAGAAAAAAATATTTGGCGGTCAGAAGCGCAGTTTTTCTTAGGTCGGCTTTAATCCTGATCTTAAGATGTAACACACGCAATATTTTCTTAGTCACAATAGTTCATGCTATGCAAATTTTTTTGGTATTTCAATCAATTGTGTAACGGGCAACTCGTGTGTAAACCTCTGGCTTACTGTTTAACGTTTCTTGAAAAATCATAGCACAGGGCCTACAGCAAGAACACGCCACAAAATAATGGTACAAGAGGTTGATCAAAAAAGAATACAAAATGAACAACAGCTATAGAAAGTTTGGGTTGGGATTGAGCTGAGTAAATTAATCAGTTTTGTAACAAACTGCAACTCGAGTGAAAACCTCTGGCTTACTGTTCAACGTTTCTTGAAAAATCATAGCACGGGGCCTGCTAAAAAAATATGTCTTAAAATGATGGTACAAGATGTCAGTTAAACAAATACAAAATGAACAACAACTATAAAACAGTTGGGATTGGGACTGAGCGGAGTAAAGCATGTATTTCTCTTCCTGACCTGATTAATTATAATACATCATAATAACAATACATAATAACAATACATTGTCCAGCAAAAGTTAAGATCAGTTGAATTGTTGAACTAGCCTGCTCACTCGTAGGTAAGAGAAATACTAAATTCAGTCAACTTTTTAACTTGATTAGAGTCCTTAAAATGTTACTATAGGTCTTTCGAAACAAGCAAACATTTCTGTGCAACTGCTCTTTCAATTTGCGTTTCGGATCAGTTTTAGCGGCGAAATTTTCCGTGTAATAACATAGAGGGCAAAACTACTGAATGCTGATTGGTCATGTAGAGGGTATTTTTTCTTAATTTTGCTTGTGAAGAGGGCAAAATTATTTGTTCACGATTGGTCCTCAGGTTGCCTAGCAACAGCTTTTGCTATCGAGTAGTAGTTGCCAAAAAATTCTTTGTGAGAATGTCGTCATGTTTCGAGATAATTGACGAGGAATGTATCGAAGAATTAAAAGTCAAGAGCGGAAATGAAAACACGAAGAAAAGCACTGAGTGGGCGAATGAAAGAAACTTCCAAGCAAGTTTAGAAGAGTACGAGAGCGATTTCCTCGACCAAACACTGTCGCAGTTTTTATTCCGAGTTACGAAAAGAAACAGGGATGACTACGAACCCGACTGCCTGAAAGTAATGAAAGCATCACAGGATAGATATCTAAAATCAAAAGCCTATCCAAAGACCATCATCCGAGGATAGGGAGTTTCTTAATTATAGAAAAGTCCTGGAAGGGAAGGTCAGAAAACTGCGGGAGCAAGGCAAAAGAAAGCCACCAAATCCACCCAAAAGTTTGACAAAAGAAGAGGAAGAAGTCCTCTGGCAGAAAGGCTTGGAGGAGGCACTCACGAGCTCTACGAGGGCGACAAGAACACCACCAAATGAAGGTTGACGATTTCACTCGGTTACAACGCGACGACGACGGAAACGAATTTCTATGATTTGCCGAAGGTCCAACTAAGACGAGACAGGGAGGACTTGGCGTGAAAACCAGACTAGTCACCCCCAAAATGTTTGCTACAGGGAATGAAGAAAGATACCCAGTCATGTTATTCAAACGAAACCTGGAAAAGCGACCGAGCTAAATGAAGAAAAGCGATTCGTTTTACCTCACGGTCATCGACAAGCCAGTTTCAAGCGTTTGGTACCGTGACGAGAAAACCCCAATGGGAAAGAACACCATAAACACAGTCATGAAAAACATGAAAGAGAACTCACCGCTCAAGGATCTGTGTTCCTAGAAGAATTTGACCGACCATAGTGCACAAAAAACCGTGGTCAAGAACTGAGCTGAAAAGTTCTGGTATCCTGAAGTCCGAAATAAATAATATCACAGGCCGCGCATCTACCTAAGGGCTTGAAGATTACGACTCAGGAGAAGAACGAGAGCTGCAGATCATTTCACGAGCCATTGACAACGCTGGTCCTGTTCCTTCAAGAAGCGCTTTAAGTCAACTTAATCCTGCAAATTCCACTGCATCTTTGTGTGCTCCTGGCCATGTTTACAATTTCAGTCATTGCAGCGTCACCTTGATTATCGCCGGGAATGATGCAGTTCACAAGAGCACAAGGAATGTAAGGCGAGGATACAAGTGTACTTTCATCGAAGAATCAGATTTTGAGTGATCTAAAAGCGTTTTGAACTCTTTAACTCTGTTTGGAAAAGCACAAAATCTTTTTATTTTCAAACTTGAAAGTTTGCTAAAAGGCTTGGTTTTCAATGTTCTGGTATGTTGGTGCAAAATAAAATTTCATTCAGCTCATTCGCGCGTTTGTGGTCTTTGTCAACATTATATGGCTTCCTGTGAATATTTCCCCCTGTATTTCATGAACAAGTAATCGCATGGGGCCTAGTAGAATTAAGGATTAATATCACTTGTGTTTCCAGAAGTTGCTGAAAAGAAGCAAATGCAACCACACGACATGCCTAAGGAGATCATGACTAACTCGTACGAAATGATCTTGACAAAATTTTAACAGAGCACTTCAAAATTATTATTTGTGTTCATGACAAATTTCACGTAGTAAAAACCGCCATGGTAGCAAGAGCTTCAGCGATGATTTGTAACCATGATCAAGGACAGTATTTACCTCTTTCCCACAAAAACATTTAGTCGAGAATTTGTGTCAAAGTAATATCCACAGTATTTCTTAGCAACGATAATGTATACTTATATTGAAATACTTCTACTCATTAGCATTGAAGCTTGACTCGAGATACATTTGTAAAATTAGTTTTAGATGAGAGATGAGTATGGGCTAAAAACTCCTACCTTTCCGACACTGCAATCAATTCAGACAATAACTCATTTTCGCGTACGAAAATTTTGAAATTCCAGCGTATTATAATTTACTCGCTGATGATTTGCCTGAGCAGCATCAGCGTTAAAATGAAGTCCTGTTCACACAAAAGGAAACACATCTTTTTCGGCGCATATTTTACCGTCCTTTTCCTCGAATTCTTTGCAGTGAAAGCCTCTGATCTTAACTGGGGTTTATAAATTCAAAAAATGCTGTTTTCAGACGAAATTAAAATTTATAAAAGACAACTTATGTTAATTTGCCAACATGATCTTCCAAAATAGAAATATAATAGAGGATTTAACCGCTACAACTCACAAGTTCTACTACGGGAAAGCAAAAGCGATGGTTACCGATGATATCAGTAGATAGTTCTTGAAGCCAATCCATCAGTCAAAATTATAACTTGCCAAAGAGGAAAATAATGACAAATCTTATCCTTTAGCTTGTTAATATGAATGACAATCTCAAGTTAGTTGGTTAAAGATTTTTAATAATATATCTGCGGGCTTTTGAAAATAACTTGCATGATTGTGGTATAAAATCATTTTACCTACGCGGCAACCATTTTGATTAAATCATGGTCTGAACACAATTAGGCCACAAAAGTTTCGATCCGAAAGAATCAAAGTGATGGAGGGGGGAGGGGGGGGGAGGGGGAAGGCAGGTGTAAACGTCAAAAGAGAATTTACGTAAAAATGTAATGAATAAATTAGGCTTTTACTTTGGAATTTGCACCGGATGGATATTTTCATTCTCTGTTTTCTGGCTTGAATCGAAATTTGGAGTTTTGGTTTTTAAAGAGGTTGGGAAACCCTCGAAGCAATGAAGACAACAAGCAACAAACTTAACACAGATGTATCAATGAATCAACAGTTTAGAGAATCGAATCCAGGCTAAAGCGGTTGAAAATAAGCGCTTCCACAATGTGCTTTCTTAGCCCCCCCCCTCCAAACTCATTGTTGGCCCACGCCGACCTACAAACTATCGACTTCCTTTGCTGCAAAGTCTTTATTAAGAATTTGAAGGGAACTTCACGAGTAATGTCTAAACGGCGATGAAAAAAAAGAAAAACAATAACATCTGTGGATAAATCTCTAACAGTACAGATTTCGTTTCGAACTGTTCAACCTTGAGGCTATAATAAGGCAATAAGATTCTAAATGTGAAGGAGAAAATGTGTACAATACGTGAGTAAATCAAGAACTTAATCCGCGCTGGGAGTTGTAGGAATGTGCCAAGAATCCAACACTCTTAACTTTCATTTTCTAAAACTATAATTGTCAATAATGGAGGCGCTTTCAAAAATATTACCTGGTCATGATGCATGTACCACAAATGATCTGTGACTCTAGACTATTGCCAGCTGGCCCTCAGATTAGAGTCGGCGCAAAGAGAAAGAAGCACACGAAATGTTCAAATGTTCATCAAGTATTTCAGAATAAGGAATTTCGAATGGTCTTCTGAGCATGTCACTGACCTCACAGACAAGTCCTCGTTAGTTAATTACCCGTTGCGATTTCGTAATTGCACCACCCGCGGCGACAGAGCCCGCACTATCCAAGTGGCTACAATTGTGTCTCGCCTATTGTATACACCTTTCGCTAATTAGCTCCTAAGGCAATTTGGAAAAAGAAATATGCCAAGGGTAAGTGTCAAGTACAAGCTCACGCGTCTCACGCAATACCTACAACGGACGAACAGCAGGATAGTTCTCGCACTAGCAGCATCTTAGAAACATCGTCTCTTTTTTCTTTTTTTTGTTCTTCGCTCTTTTGTTTATCGCTATTCATTTTTAAAGGCTATGACATAACTACACGTCGCAGGCCAAACAAAGGAAGCGGTATTATTATTTCTAGCATTAAAAGAAAATATTATTATCAGGGCCTTAGCTAGCATGAGGGAAGACGAGGCAATTACCTCGTCTTGATTTTGGCCTTTTTTTTGGCACC